TTTAATTGTATTTATCTTTGTCTATTATATTGAATTGTTTTATTATTGGGCTTTAATTAATAATGTGGGTTTTCTTATGTACTTGAAAGTTCGGCTACCACGTCTATAAATAAAGACGTAGGTAGCGAGCTACCTAAGGGTTTTAGAAACATCAATAGCCGCATTCATCATTTTGTAAGCCCTTCGTCGAAAGCTTTTAGGAATACTTTGTACTGATATTTCAACATTCAAGATTATTATCAAGTATTCAATGGGAGTTTTTCTTGTTCCTGTTATATCATATGAATGAAGTTGAATTTGAAACCCCACTACTATGAGGATTTCACCCTTCACTTCAGATTCTAGAACAATTATTTATCTCGCTCATTTATCATTGTAGAAGAACGGTTAAGTGCACTCTTACAAATAAAGGAAAAACAATTGGCAAGAGGTGTCTTGAGAGTCTAACACCTCCTATTCGCTCATATTGGTTTTCTATTCTTTAGGGCAACACGCAATTAGGGCTCGGTGGTAAAGGCGTGTTTAGAAGACCTGGGGAATCTAATGGGGCTACGCTTCGAAAACAATCAGGGAGACTATTCATAGAGCTCAATACTAACATAGTCACCCATGACAATCTTCACTCAAGCATACACCCAACATTACCACAAAGGATACTTTTTATTGGGGTTTGCCATAAATAATACAAAAACAACTTTAAAAAAAATTCAAAACGAGACTAAACTATTATTATTGTCCATAACTAATCTGACCATTGACTAACTCGGCCAGTGACCAACCCGACAAGTGACCGATCTGACCGGTGACCATGATTGATCCACCCAGTGACCGTGACCAATCTGACCTGTGACCAACCCGGTCTGTTTGACAAATCCACCAGTGACCACCCCGACCAACGATCGTGACCAATTTGAGAAGTGATTAATTCAATCGTGACTAATCCAACAGTGACCCATCAGACTGTGACCAACTCGACCGGTGATCAACCCAACCATGACCAACCCAACTGTGTCCAATTCAACTAGTGACTAACCCAATTAATGACCACGACCAATTTAATCATTGACCAAACGGTTATTGCCGTCCCGACCACCGCCTTCCCCGACCACCACCGCTCCTGACCACTGCCCAACCTAATGATGTTCATCGCCGCCCGCACCTATGCCATCCTCATCCTCATCCCCTGCCCCACCCCTCCTTTACCCCAATCCCTCCCCTGCATCAGCCCCCTTCCCTACCTCAGTCCCGTCCCCATCACCTCTCCGATGGTCGGTCATCGGGGATGCTCCAGACCTTGCGACGAAGAAGATGACAAATCCATTCCATAAAAAAACGAGAAGAAGTTGATAGATCTGCAGTTGCTCGGCGACGGCGTAGACACAATGGCTCGGAGACGGCGGAAGCATAGTTGCTCGCAACGGGCAGTTTGTCTTGGTTTGATTTGGTCCGTAGGACTCTCTACTTTGGTCCACAGGTATGTTTGGTTTGCTTTGGTACGTAGGTCTCTCTGCTTTGGTCCGCGGGTATGTTATCGACGTTCTGTCTCTTTCGGGGGCTGTCCAAAGGTGTACCCGACCGGGTATTGCTGTATATTCTAAAGTACAGAATTTTTCGGGGGCCTACAGTTCAATTTTGGTAGAGAAAGTACCTTACATGGCTTATAAATATAGAAACATTAAAGATTAATGGAAAGGATGCGAGGATCCTTATCGATACGGGAGCAAAACGTTCATTCGTTAATGAGGTGTTTGCCATGGGATTAGGCACATCTTTAATACCAATGACGCAAACCCTTTTGGTATCTACGCCTCTAGGGGATGACGTTGAACGGAAGGACTACTATCCTTCATGTGATGTGGAGATAGGGGAGCACCGTCTAAAGGGTGACTTCGTACCGTTAGCTATGCTTGAGTTTGATGCCATACTTGGCATTTACTGGCTTGAAAAACACCATGCAAAGGTAGACTGCTACACTAAAGTGTTAGAACTCAAGGATGGTGAAGGAAATAGGCTATGTTTCGAGGGAGATAGAGGAAAATTCAATCCTTGCATCATATCGGCCATGAGAGCAAGGCGTATGATGAGGAAGGGATGTCAAGCTTACTTAGCCTATGTCATAGGCAAGGAAGGCAAGGGGAAGAGTCTCACAGAAGTGAGGGTGGTGAGCGAGTATCCGGAGGTGTTCCCTGAAGAACTACCGGGGCTTCCACCAGATCGAGAGATTGAGTTTGTCATTGAAGTAGAACTGGGTACGAAACCTATCTCGATCCCTCCATACCGAATGGCACCGGCTGAACTTCAAGAGTTGAAGGTTCAGTTAGAGGAGCTATTGGATAACGGATTCATTAGGCCGAGTCATTCACCATGGGGAGCACCAGTACTATTTGTAAAGAAGAAGAATGGTACACTCAGAATGTGTATCGACTACCGTCAGTTGAACAAGGTCACGATAAACAACAAATATCTGTTGCCAAGGATTGATGACTTGTTTGATCAACTACGGGGGGCAATAGTGTTCTCTAAGATCGACTTGAGGTCGGGTTACCATCAATTGAAGATCAAGGAAAATGACACATCCAAAAGTGCATTCCGTACAAGGTATGGTCACTACGAGTTCCTTGTAATGTCGTTTGGGCTCACAAATGCCCCCGCGGCATTCATGGACCTACCTATACGCTTGAACGGCTGGCCAAGTTGTACATCGGGGATGCTCCAGACCTCGCGACGAAGAAGATGACAAATCCATTCCATAAAAGAACAAGAAGAAGTTGATAGATCTGCAGTTGCTCGGCGACGGCGGAGACGCAGTGGCTCGGAGACGGCGCAAGCACAGTTGCTCGCAACGGACAATTGGTCTTGGTTTGCTTTGGTCCGTAGGACTCTCTACTTTGGTCCACATGTATGTTTGGTTTGCTTTGGTTCATAGGTCTATCTGCTTTGGTCCGCGGGTATGTTATCGACGTTCTGTCTCTTTTTTGTCCTTTCAATATATTATCTTATTTTTATCCAGTCAAAAGTCCTGTGTCTTATTTTTGACTTTATTTTCTTTTCATTTGTGGCCTTGAGAAAAACAGTAATATCTTCTCTAGCCCTCCGATATTTTGTTTTCGGCGGGATTTTCATTCTCATTCCATCCAAATCTTGTTTTCTAGAAGGTTTTGTTTGGTTTTGGTTAGAGCCTTTTGCCTTTGATCCTTTTACACAACAAATCACCATTTTAATTTTATCCATCCAATTAAACTTTTCACCAAATTTAGGAGCCCCGTCCAGGGGCAGCCCTAGGGGGGTGCAGTGGGGGTGGGGCCCTAGGCCAAAAAAAGTGTAAAAAATTTAGGCCCAATCTTAAAGCTTTGTATGAAGAGTGAGTAGGCTGAGTTTTTAGGCTATATCCACTACACTACAAAAGAACATCGATATTGTGACGGAAATTTAGCAACGGATCAAATGGTGGGTCATTAGCAACGGAATTACCGACAATACATCAAAGGAACCGTTGAAAAACCTCTCGTTTTTGGCACCCAAATACAACAATTTTAGCGACGATTATTCCCGTTGCTGAATCTCCTACGGCTCACCGACGAGGTTTCACGTCGGTGAATGTTTAAATTTACCAGTTTGCCCCTCTTCACAATTATTTCCTCCCTGAGACTCATCCTTACCCTGTTACCCACATTCTAATCCACACTTAGCTGCTCATATGTGAAGAAACCCTCCCAATATGATATCACTTCTTGTCGTCTAAGTCTTCCAACCTCAATTAGTTGCCCGCCAGCAAAGCCTCCCAATCACAAATTGTTACCCCCCGTCGAAGCCTCCCAACCTCAAATCGGTCCACGCCGTCGATTCATTTGAACCTGGATTTATTGCCTACCGCTGATGCCGTTAAACCTGGAATCGCTGCCCACCGTCGAAGCCACCCAATCTCAACCGTTGTCGCCCGTCGAAGCCATCTAAGCTCAAATCCTTGCCAGATCTTGAACCTCCCAACCTCAACCGTTGTCAACCGCGCAATCAAAGATGCCATATCGCCAGATTTTGTGGTGGTTCTATTCTTCAAGCACTTCTACAATTTTTTACAGTTTCGAGCAATTTTATAGTTGTACATAGATATATACTCCTGTGTAAATTTCACTCACAATGATAAATACTTCGTATTTTTGTTATATTAATTGTATTGTATGTAATTATGCTTTAAGCTTGAAAAATCATGTAAGGTTAAAATTTTCAAAGTATAATTTTCGATGTATTTTCCATTTAAATTTTGTGTAGGAACTGTATTGTATACAGAGTATTTTATTGTAAGTATTGGCTATTTAAACTGGATTCTATTCGTCTATTTTTTACTATTTGGTATACTTCTGACGGAAGTAACTGTTTCTATAAGTATTTTATTGATGTATTTATTCAGAAGATAGCAACGGTTGTTTCCGTTGCTAATAGGGACGGCTTTAATGATTTTGTTACCGACGGGAAAATATGATTTTCCGTTCCTATTTGCATCACTGATTCAATGTTTTTTTGTAGTGCTAATTTAATGCGGCATAGGGAAAAGAGTTCTAAAGGCGTAAACAATGTTTTTTAAAAAAGTTGGACCAGATAGTGGATACATCAACTTTCTAAGCCTTGTATCCTTTCTAATCGGAACATAGGATTCTAACTTCTGATAACCTCGATCCTTTATATTCTTTTATTAGTCTTATGTCCTTGTTTTTTTTGCATTTATGCTCTTACTTATTTCATGATAAATTATCACAACTTTTCACCCTTGGTGGTTTTCATTGATTAGTCATCTAGCTTCTGACTTAATCGCAAGTTCAGATTTATACTTCCTCCATCCTTATTTGAGTTGCAATTTACGAATTTTAAGGTCGACTGGTGATAAAATTAAATTATCGTAAAAAACGTGGATTTTAATTAAATTTATAAATATAATAAATTTCTGAGGTGTAAAAAAATGTTCTTTAATTGTGATATTACTTGTTTAATATGGCGAATTACATAAGTTACAATTTTTGGAGTATTATTGTTATGCATTAGATTAGACAAAAAATAATAATATCTTCTTAAAATTAGACCCATTATAAATTATTTGCCGCTGGTCCTGGTCCTGGTCCGTCATCATGTTCCTGCTACTTTTACAAGGGTTGTTTAATTCGATACAATATAACACATGACCACCTTTATAAGGAGTATTATTTCTCTACGTCTGAATCCATCTCACAGATTCAGAGCTCCTCGCCCTTTTCTTCAGTTTTTCCCGACGACATTGTCTTCTTTAAACTTCCCACGGCCTCCGCAGCCAACCTGGCGGCAGATTTTGCCGAATCTTCTACGGTTTCTTTGCTCTTCATCACGGCTTCTTTCACCAGTTTCTTCCCATTTCTTTCCTCCTCTCTCATTCCCGCTTTCCCACCGGCCCGGAAGCTATGATCCCAAGAAAAAGTAATTACAAATCAGCATTAAGTTTAGGTCGTTTACAAAAACATTTCATAATAAAAAAGTAATTACAAATTAAACCAGCATTAAGTTTAGATTGTTTACAAAAACATTTCATAATAATGATTTATGTTGAAAAATTCAAAATAGCAATACCGTGTTTCCGAAATATAAGTCGTTGCTGCGATAATTTGAAAAATATTATCATGATTGAAAATTATTGTCTACTCCATATCAATTATAATAAATATTTTTATGAACCCAGAATACCGTCCAAAAGCCCAAGAGAAGAAGTTGGGTATTCCGTCGGCCAGGCCCTGGGCCGTCGGGAAACGAGACCAAGGCAGAGATAATCTTATACTTAGTCAAAATGTTCTTTGTATTCAGCCCAAAAAGGCTGTATATTGTAATGGGCCTCCCCAAGCCCAAGACTTGGAAGCTCCAGCCCATATTTTCCCTATAAATACCCTCTTTCAAATAGTTACAAATGGTTGAGTAATATTAATTGTACTCTCTAGCTCTCACTTCTCTCTAAACTTATACTTTATCAATTGTCATGTTGGATGCCTAATACTGCAACTATTTGACAAACATGACTTGATTAAAAAATCAGAGTAAATATTGTCATTTTACTCTTATTTCAAAAAGAAAAAGATAACAATCCTATTTTGAAATTCAACCCCTATTTAGTACTCTCTCCGTCCCGAAATAAATGCCTTTGTTTGATTTAGCATAAGTTTTAAGGAAGTGGTTGAAAATGTAAAAGTTACGGTTGATATTTGAATAGAAAATAGAGAATTGATATGAGACACACACTATTGTGAAAAGAGGAAACATGACAATTATTTTAGGACGGACCGAAAAAGAAAAATAGGAAAGTTATTTCGGGACGTAGATAGTACTATTCTAGGAAACCTCTTAATTTTTAATTTAAGTGACCCAAAAAATGCCTCATTAAAGCCCTCTTTGGATCGGAAATAGGGGAGAAGAAGATTTTTGGATGTCTTGGAAAATGATTTATTAAAACGTATTTAAGTAGTATAGTATAATAATATTACAAATTGCTTTCAATATGTTTTTTAAACACGTACTACGAATCCTTGTAGAATATTGCTGTGATCTACTTAATTCCATTTCAATTTCATATTCTATATTCAAATTATATTCTTGTGATTAAACCGAATTTTAAATATTCTATATTCATTTTAGCTATTTTTCATATAATTATTTCTTTATTGTATTAATAAAATATATTTTAAATAATTTCTTTAATGAAAATTAGTAGAATCGGTCAAAACTTCATAAATTTCAGCAGAATCAACTGATTCGACCGAATTCAACATTACCAAACGGGCTCATTACATGATTATTGAAAGCTTACTCGAGATTGGGGGCAATGGAGAAGAAACCAAGGCCATTCCGGACTGAGGAATGCAGTTTGGCCCAGTAAGAAGGGGTGGACGGAAATGTGGTTGGAAGAGAGAACAGGCTCATGACCGCCTCTACAATGGGGTGACACCTTTTCCGTAAAGCCGCCTCCGCCCCCTCCCCGCCTGCGGCCGTGCTTGCGCTATCCGCCGTCCCTCCTCCGGTTGTGGGGGCATGATAGAAAACGGAGAAGACAAGAATCATCATCAAGGATATGATTTTCAGTGTGTGTCTTCCCATTGTGTAATTTGGATTTGTGAAGCTAGCCAGGAAAGAAGGTGAAAGGGGAACAAATTTAGCCGCAGTTTAATTATGGTAGAGACCGGAGAGAAGGATGAATCATCATCTTAGCTGGCCGGGAAGGTGCTTTGCTTGGGTTTAAAGGCTTTCTGTGAAGAGGACACGTGTACACCGTGTCTGGCAGAACAAGAGCCGGAACTTTACGGAGTTGCCACCTGCCCCTTTGCGTTCGGTGGATGACTTCATTGAAGTGACTAGATTATTGTACTAGACATATTTTGCTATTTTTCATAAGTCATCCATTCCGCCATTTCAGGTAGAATTTATTCATTTTCAACCGGTTAAACAGATTCAACAAATTTCAGTGTTATTAAACGAATTCTAGATAGGACAAAGCTTTAAACCCTCCCCATAGTTCTCAATTTTTTTTGTGATGTTTAGCTAAAGGTTCTCATTTTTATTTTTGCAAACAATAAAAATCTTAAATGACAATTAATCATCGGGTATTAAAAATAGAAATTGCTCTAAATAAGAGTAAAACCGTTTTGAATTTCCAAACTATGAGTATCATGTTTTTTATTCCGAGTAATCTCTCAAGTTTGGAAAAAATGTCATGTTTTAAAGCCTATTAATGACAAATTTGACAGAAATTTACTTTTATTTATGGAATAAAAAACTTGATACTCATATTTTGTAATTTCAACTTTTTTACTCCTATTTAAAGAATTCCCTCTATTAAAAATTTTACATCTATATCATCTGAGTTATCTTCAATTGCCTTATTGTACTTCTTATTATGCAATCATCAAAACTATTTTTTAATTATTATTTAATGAAGAATAAATTAGATTAACATAATATTATTAAAGTAATCTTAACACTTGATCTTATCGTATACTCCGTAAGTTTGATCAAATAAAGTTTAAATTATACCTGTGTCCCAATAGAAAAGGTTTTAATTTTTTGGAAACTCAAAAAAGAAAACTATCTTGGCGGCCACGCACATGGAGGAGGGCATATGTCGGCGTCACCGCGCGCGTTAGTATAAAAATGCCTTACTCTAATACTACTTCAATTGTAGGTCATCGCTGGTTCTGTTTCTTCTAGTACGAAATTATCATTGTTTTTACCCGAATAATTGACATTCACTTCGAAATCTCTGTTCCAGGTACCCTTGGACGTCTCTTTATTTGCTTCAATTCACAAATCTGAACTCCTCTGAATTTGTGTTCTGAACTAATATTGATAATCTCATATCATTAATATTGATGATGATATATTCGTGTATGATTGAAGGGGGTTATACAATGGATGGAATCTGTGGCGTGAAACGGACGCGAGAGAATCTTGAACTTTCTTCCTCTGAGACAAAAACCCACAAGTTAGAAAAGATTTATGCTTGGCGCGATTTTCCTGAAAATCCCGGACTTCTTGTCAAAGATGATGAGTTCAGTGACTCTGAACAATATTCTGATGGTCATGAACATTCTGCTGTAGAAGAAGGACTCTGGGAAAAAAACTATGATGATGATGATGATGCCAGTTCTAGAGCTCCAGAGAGATCGTATGATAATCATGAAAAAGGACCTTGGGATGAATTTGATGATGATGACTGTTTCATTGCTAAAGTGGGATCTTACGATAATCATTATGAATATTCTCATGTAAAAGAAAAAGGATCTTGGTTTGAAGTTGATGATGATGATACTGGGTGTTCTATTGCTGAATTGGGATCATATGAATATTCTGCCTTCATTGAAAAAGGACTCCGGGAAGAGTGTGATGATGATGAACTATACTGCACTGGACAAGAAGAAGAAGAAGTTGGAGAAGATTTGGAGGCGCCAATCTGTTCATTTTTTCATAATGGGAGGGCACAGGCAAGGCGTGATTATCCAGAGGGCGTTTTTCGTGAAAATCCATGTCTTGTCAAAGAAGAGTTCAGGGACTCTGAACAATATTATGATGGTCATGAAGATTCTGCTGTAGGACTTTGGGTAGAGTCTGATGATGCTGAACAATATTGTACAGGACAAGAAGAAGTTGAAGAATATTTGGAGGAGTCGATTTGTTCAAATTTTTGTAATGGAAAGGCACGGGCAAGGCGCGATTATTCAAAGAGTGTTTTTCCTGGAAATCCCAGTCTTCTTGTCAAAGAAGATGAGTTCAGTGACTCTGAACCATATTCTGATCGTCATGAATATTCTGCTGTAGAAGAGGGACTCTTGGAAAAAAACTATGATGATGATGATGATGATTTTGTCAGTTCTGGAGCTCAAGAGAGATCTTATGATAATCATGAAAAAGGACATTGGGATGAATTTGATGATGATGATGACTGTTTTATTGCTGAAGTGGGATCAAATGATAATCATTATGAATATTTTCCTGTAATAGAAAAAGGATCTTGGCAAGAACTTGATGATGATGATGGTGAGTGTTCTATTGCTGAAGAGGGAGCTTATGAACTATACTGTACTGGACAAGAAGAAGAAGTTGGAGAAGATTTGGAGGCGCCAATTTGTTCATCTTTTAACAATGGAAAGGCACGAGCAAGGCGAGATTATCCAAAGGGCGTTTTCCCCAGCAATTATAATGTAGCGAAGGAGCCAAAGCCAAAGTATTGTTTGGGGGAACAGATTAATATGGCGTGTTCTTGAGCAGCAGAAGAAGTGAGAAGAACCATCCATGCACACAACCAGACAACAATCATTTAAACTTTTGTTGCTTAAACAATGCGAAGTATATTCTACGTAGTTTGATTTGGCCGGTTTATTCTGAATAGTAATTAGATTCATGATTCTTTCTAGGCTGACCACTTGATTTTTGTCTTGTGCTGAGAAATTGAAATGTTATAAACAATAGTATATATACATTCATATTTTTTACTTTGTATGGTGAATGAGCGGACTGAATTCTGTTAATTGACCATTTTACCCTTCTGTCTGGAAGAAGCGTTGAACCCCAAAAAATAATCATATTATGAACCTTTATTTAAAATTAGGAACCTTTAATTTTCTTTCCTCAATATTAATTTCAACACTGCAGCAGTTAAAAGAATATTGGAATTTCTGGAAATTCATAGCAAAACACAACATTTCGAAAACTGCTAGAAAATTCAATTTGTACAAAAAAAGCTTCCAACATTTGTGTGAAGTTGGTGAAAAATTTATTGTCGCTTGCGGATATGAGCAGACCTTGCTAAGAGTGAGGGCAGGTGGCGTGCAAAGGGTTGATATTGGTTAATGGAGAAGCTCGCGATCGACAATTCATGGGTCGTCATTCTAAATGATGGTCGGCGTTCAAATGTAAGTCTGGCGGAAGGATCAGACAGGTTAAAAGAGGAACACTTGCGTCTGAATGTGAAGGAGTGCCGTGAAGGAGCTGAGCGATTCAGTCGTTATTTGTCTGAGCGAATAAGTCCTGCTGAAAAATAAGTTCCAAATAAACAGTCTTGTATAGCTGAGTCATTAAGTCCATCATTTCATTAAGACCATTAAGTCAAACGTAAACAACCCCTAAGTCTCAAATACTAACCGTGTCAGCATTCAGCCTTTATTATTGTTGTTGTTCTGTTTTTGTTATTATTATTATTATTATTATTATTATTATTATTATTATCATCATCATCATCATCAATACTATTATTATTATTATTATTATTATTATTATTGTTATTGTTATTGTTACAGTATCAAATTCAAGAAATGTCTCTAGTCCATCGTGTAGCTAACGGCCATGTTCAACAACTCTTGTTTGGTGACTTAGGCTATGTTAGACAGACATAAGTCTATGACTTAGTTCACACTAGTCATTCACTCGTGCGATGAACACACAAAATAATTCACCTAATATTATATATCAGGTAGTTTATTTTTAAAAATATTAGACCCATTTATGTGTGAGTATAGCCTTTTTGTGGAGGTCTAGGTAGGGGTGGACTGGGACAGGTCAACTCGACCCGGCCCTAGCCCGGTCCGATACTGTACAGGCCCAACCCGGCCCGGTCGGCTGATACCGGAACCAGGACTGAGGCCTGAACCGGGATGTATTTGTGCGGGCTACGAGCTTACATATTTAGTGACCGGCCCGACCGGGCCTCTTTATTTTTATTTTTACTTTTTTAATTCGAAAAGACAAAATAAAAAAAATTAAATAATGCCCGAGCCGGCCCGGTCCCGGTTCTAACCCGGGCCGGCACCGGGCCTGAATATTTTGGACCCGGAGCCCGGCCCCAGTCCACCCCTAGGTTTAGGTTCATTCTCATTTGAGCACATAATACTTCACGGAAAACTTGACAAATCTAGTAATTTCTTCCTTGGTATACATATCTTTAACGAGTTTTGCTAGAGGTACCATATTTCGTACCTCATTTGTACCTCTTTCCTATATTTGTGGTTCACAAAAGCTCAACACATTAAATGAATTGATCTATTTTAATGAAGTGCTTTTGTGAACCACAAATATAAGGAGGGGGTACAAAATGGGTACAAATTGAGGTGACAATAGCATTTGTGCATCTTTAAGCCCTCCCCCAGGCCTCAAAACAACACCTTCACACTCATTTTCTTTCTCTAACTTTTCTGGGTTCCAGACAATAAGTATTTGTGAAGGGAAAATAACAAGGGAATAAGTGGCCTCACACAAGACTCCAATTGTATTCAGTTTGCCCCTTGTGCAAATTTTTCCTGATGTTTCAGCTTTCACGCTCCCTAGCGAATTCCCAAATTTAATAATGTTACATGACTTTTCTAAACCTAGCTTCATGCCTTCATATATAAGCGCCACCTCCTTACGGAAACTTCATTTATGCAAATTGTGAACTTTGCCTTTGTTTATTATTTTCCTAAGTGCTGCTTTGGCTTCTTCAAGTGTTTCAACTGAATGCCCTTCTTCAAACGGCATCCTCTGAATGTTGAACTGCAGTGAAGTTGGAGGAAGGTAAGAATAGCACCACCTTAGAGTCACAGGGTGAAATCAATACAAACAAGCAGAGGACACACAGTTTGTATTTGCATCCCGTGTTTTACAACAAAATTTAACTTTGCAGCCCATGCTACAGTCCAGGGTGGGGTGCAAAGTCAAATATTAAGGCAAACCATGGGGAGAAAAGTAAAACATTAAGGCAAACCATGTGGTGCAATGTCTAACCAAAATGATCTGATTCTAGGGTGCAATGAGGTGCATGTGAACAGAAAATAAAAGTGGGACGTGAAGTCAAATAATGGAATAAAAAAATGAGAAGATACAAAGACCATTTTTGTGTGAAGTACCTGTGCGCCTTGCCGGACACGAATATCAGTGCCCTTACTGTCTATAGATATCAGAGCAACATCATCCACCTCCGTTTCACGTGACAGAAGATCCTTTAGGGGTTTTGAGAAGAGGACATTTAGTTCCTGCAACACATAACAACCTTACATTTAAAGTTAAAGACTTTGTTTTGTGATGTGCCAATTGACTGACTTACTAAGCAAATTGTGTTTCAACCCCAATAACAAAACTACGTGAATGTTTCCGAAGCAATGAAAAGTTGCTTAAGTTGTTCCATGAAGCAGAGCTATACTCCGTATTTGAAAAAATGAAATAAAAAACTATTGCAGACTCAATTTGTAAATACTGACTGAATTTTGAATCCCAATACTACAGAGACTTGGTAAATTGTTCACTGTGAATTGTGATATGCAGTTTTCTCATACCACAATCTCCCTACCTTCAGGTTATGTTCACCCCCATTGACAGCAATTTTGTCTGGCTTAAGGGTTTCATATTCCTTGACATCAACCCAAGCAACTGTTCCAAACCCTCCAATGAAGTATATGTCACTGTAATTAAGTTATACACAAAACTCATTTTTAGATACAATAATGATTTCCCAAGGGCATTTCCAGTTTTCTAGTGTCAAGTGGACATATTAAAATGCAGAGAAGGTCATGCAATAACAGTAATATAAGAGTTAGAGAGAAGTGGAATTTATAACATATGAGCAACTTATGCTGATGTAGATTGCAAATACAAGAAATGCTCAACGCCTTAACTCTTTTTGTTTTGTGCAAATATGAGAAAATAATCTCAAAGGAAAATGAAAAGAACCTTATATTTTGCATCCTAAAGTAATAAAAGTTTCCCCACTGTTGTGAAGGACCTTGCTGATGCTTTGCTATGTACTGTTTATGAGCCCACCCCTAGAAACAGAGAAACGGTAGTTATATGGTTTTTATGTGCGCGCGTGTGAATTCGAAGATACTGTAGCCATAACAGGTACACATATAAAATCAGACATGTAACTACCTGTTGATCTTCTGTGAGAGGATACACATCACCAAGTATTGTTACCCTTGCATTTGACAAACCACTCCATCCGGGAATCTAGAAATATCAACGATGAGTAACTCGACAATATTTGAAATTTAGAATGTGTAGCTAAAGAAAAATTGATGATCAGCCAGCTTTTTCATCAACACTTGCTTATTTTACTATCATGGCAGAATCAGCTTGTAATAAAATTAAGAAGTGCATAAGTTCCTTTTTTGGTCGAAATGGCCTAGATGAATGAAAATGGCACATCAACCCCTCTTATGTAGTTATTATTTTCTTTAATTATTTATATCTAATTAAAATATACTTTAGATCATTAAGTAGATTAATCCATTTCAGCCACAACTTCAGCAGGTTCAGGCACAGATCATGCCTTTCCAAATTGTGTCTAACTTCTAAGCGAATCGCTAACCTGCACAACCATCGAGCATCTTGGATCAGCTAACAAATTCCTAGTGTGAATAGCTAATGGAGAAAATGAAAATAATGGATCTGCATATGGAAAACAAATCTAAGAGTCAAAGAGCCAGATCAAAGCACTGCAGTAAATTTTAATGGAGCTAATGCAGCTACATGTCTACTCTTCCCCTGTAGATTCTCCAATTAAAATGCTTTAATGCAGGGCTAAGTTGGATGAACAAAGCCATATTTGGAGTATTGGCTGTCTTTTACAGTGTCGTAACAACTTACGCCCCATGCCATCTGGTGCAAAATCTACAAGTGAACCAAATGGATAACCCTCTCGCCTATGATGCATCTGGGACATGACTGTGCACAAATGAGCAAACCTAGCCTATAAACATTGCAGCAGAGAAAATGATAGTATGTCAAAGAACTTTAACTCCTAACATAAAAAATTGTCAGATCAAATCTCCTAGAATTTAATTATTTACCTGTTCCAGTAAATTTCGAACAGCTAATGCCGGTTTCGGTAAATCATGAGCAGAGGTTGCGCTTTGCACTCCTCCTGATATCGGTGTTCTAAATAGCCCGGCTCTTGTGCCGCCCCCTGAGTGCGTTACCACTTCTGCTATCCTCTCTTCTTTAATTTCGCTTGGCTGTTTCCCGTCGAATTTACCCTTCGGAGTATGAGAGATCCGTCAACACAAGAATACCCGTTTAGCATACTAGCAGAGATAATACAGATGATTGCAGTAAACTTAAAAAAAACGGATGCATATCATCAGTACCCGAGACAAATGAACAGCTTCAGGAGCTAATCCAAATCCAATTTCGCTATTCAGACGAAGAATTTGTTCTTCGGTGTTTCCGTCTCCACCATTCAGTTCTTCAGAAGGAAGTGCCGCAACTCGAGAGAGGCGGAGTGAAGGCGAGATGCTGCGTGCTGGAGTTAAACTGGATTTTAGAATCTTACTACCAAGCCAGACAGTAGGCGTTTTGATATATTGAGAAGTACAAGGCTTTCCTGTGAATCTCGGATAGAAACTGGCGCTCGAAACAGCTTCCATAGATGAAGAAAGAGGCTGTGAGATTGCCATGAGGATAAAATCCGCTCTCTCACAGTTCGACTTATGTCTGTGAGCAAAAGCTCTGCACTTTTCCGGTTGGTCTGCTATACCAAATTGGGCAAGAGCCGGTTTCGGATGCAAACTATATGACCCGTTGAACATTGTTCAAGTACATTTTGTTACCCTAGGTATTTTAGTGTAATTACTAATAGGGGTGAGCATATCGGTTTAATCGAATCCAATTTAAATCAAATTTAAATTACATGTAATTAGATTTGTGTTTGAGATATATATGTAATAGGGTATTCAAAATATATAATTTATGAGATATTGAGTCAAAAGATGGAAGATGAATGTGTAGTGCGAATGTATTATGAATGAATTCATTAGATCTTAGGGTTTACCAGGGGTATATATAGGAAAATTTGGGTTGAGTCACATAAAAAGATTAATAATATAAAAGGCTAATGTGAATATTATCCACCTGTGTATCCAGGTCGTTGTCCTATCTCAATAGTCGACATACCACGAGTCGAGTACTATATCGTTATCACTATAATAAATCGACTCGAACCGAAACAAAAAAATGAATAAAACTGAATCGAACTAAAGAAATTCAATAAGACTTTCACATGCCCTTAAAAAATAAAATATTCAAACCGAACCAAATCGAACCAACATGAAATATAGTACAATTTTTGTTTGATAGTAATTCTTTCAATTCGTCCCAGACTGAACCTGATAAAAACCAAATCGAAAATCAGTATGTCCACCCATAATAATTAGCATACATGTTCAGTTAACAACAAATACTGAGTATTGATATATTTTTCGTAATCATACTATTAAATGAGATAAATAAATACATCAAGACTGAAGTACATTGAAAAGAATAAACGATTCTCTTTATCCCAAAAATAAGATAAATAAATAACTTAAGTTATGTCATACTTTCTTTTTTGGATTGCCCCAAAACAAGTGTCTCGATTTCTTTTTTGGAAAGAAATATGTGGTCCACAAATTTTCACATTATTATACTCATATCTCAACTACAACTTATACAATTTCAACCATTTTATTAATTTTCCAAAAAAACATTTTATTAAAAATTGTGCCGTATTATTACTGTTGTACATACTTTTACCCATGTCTATAAATATTTTTTCCCTATCACAGACAACACATGTTTTGTTTAGTTGTTTCATCAAGAATTATTGTTTTTTGGCAACAATAAGTCATATCATCACATCAACAAATCGTTAGCCAGCCGGCTTACAATGCAATCTGGAATAACATCAAAATAACAATCATGGTCCGGTAGCAACACGCCCTGCCTAGCTAGAACATGAGTAGCGCGGTTCGCAGGCCGTCTAGAAAAAGAGAGACTAAATCCACTCGTAATTTTCAATAGACTTCGAATATCTTTCAACAATAAATCAATATAAGAGCCGCCTTGCATCCCTCGAATACCGTTCACAACTAACAATGCATCTGATTCAAATTCCACACAATCCCATTTCTCCTTCAACACATCCTCCACTGGTGTCCGAACTCCCAAAGCTTCCGACTCAGCAGGACCTAAATTCCCTTCCTGGATCTAGTGATAGCCTTGAAAAACTCCCCTTGATCCGTACGAGCAATCAACTCCATGCTCTAGGGCCTCCCACCTCATTCACCGCAGCATCTATATTAACTTTTATAAACCCCGCCTCAGGATCCTTCCATTTTCACCCCTATTTAAGTCATGTTGTTCCTCATTCAATTTTATCAATCCCAATATTCCATGATTTCTATAAATGCATGCATATAGATGAAAATGGTTCAACTTAACCAATGAAAATGAACATGTCAACATACACCCTCATGAAACCGACCCCTATAGAGCATCACATAGTTTCATTCCTAAAGTCATGTTTCTAGCTGTGGTCGGGAGACCTACAATAGCAGATAGTGGGGAGGTTCTATGAGATGGCAAGATTGAAACTTTTCTTTCACTTTTCAAGACACGGTAAAAAAACAAGACAACTGGAGAAATGAGGACATTGCTTACTAAGTCAATCACAAATATCACAAGAAAAGTAATCAATCAATTCACGATTGAAGGAGTGATGTCAGCAATTAAAAAGAACACTTCAAAGAGAAACAAAAACTACACCATACAAAAATTGTTTTTTCTACTCATTTATTTTTGAAATACACCACTCCAAGAGAAACTTACGAATATACTCTATGTAACAATTGTTTCAACAAAAAAATCACGCTTATTATATCTTCTGGTTTGATTTTAATAATTGAAAATAAAATTGATGGATAATCGATACCCATATCCTATAATTTGGGAGATTGAACAGGAATGTAGGAGATGTATGTGTATTGTGAATGAATTATGAGTAATGTTTAGAAGCTCCAAAATGGAGTATATATAGAGAAATCTGGGTCTGGGCCTCTTAATATGGGTCTGATAGGCCCGGTTACATAAAAGGACTCATGACATAAAAGACTAATCTAGTACATACAATAAATATGTAAACTATCCAGGCCCAATAATCAGCAGACTGGGGGTCGGAGTCCATATATTCCATCAGGAGTCCCCCACTCCCTGAGTTGAGAGTACTCGAGGTGAAAGGGAGTAGTCCACAATTGTATCTGCAACGTTCTTATGTCTTTGGTTTCTTCCTCTCCGGCCGTGGGACCACCACCCTTGTCCATGATGGGGAGGTGCCTCGTTAAAAACCTTTACTAGGAAAAAACCCAGTGGGAAAAAATCCTAATAAAGGGAAAAAGAGTACACCTAGCGCCCCCAACATGAAACAAGGAAGGTAAGTTCCCTCCGGCACAATCAATTTTGTCTAGCTCAGTTCCCCTCTTCATCCGACTCAGCTTTCATTTCTGCTCATGCGTGATATTTTCTGCTCATCTAGAAACTCTGACTCCTCAGTCCCTCAGTCCCCCACTCCTTGAGGCGAGTGGAGATGAGGTGAAAATGAGTAAAGTCATCTTCGTATCTACACATTTAACATACATATAAATTTTTTCTTGGGGTTTATGTTTTCGATCGGGAGTTCGTCAATTGAAAAAAGTGGAAATGTGAATTGCTAATGTAATGATAAAATACTTAGTAGAGTAGATGTATGAGTCATTCGTACTCAACGGTCACCACTCTTGGAATGACTAAGACCGGTTTTCATGCCTGACTGGGTAAGGGCTTTGTGCCTGATCTGGGTCGGGTCTTTGTGCCTGATCTGGGTCATGGCTTTGTGCCTGATCTGGGTCAGGGCTTTAAATCCTAGTGATGGGTCTCAAGTCACAGTCTACTAGTTATTTGGTCATAATTGTGTGATAGTTTGACATGCGCCCGACAAAACGAAATGATTTAAATAAATATAAATAATATGAAAATTAAAGAGTACTTATCTTCTGATGGGCTGAAATATATTGGACTGACTGAAAAGAATAATATCCAGCTGATTCCTTTGAGCTCATTCTAATTTGTGAAAAACCGACAACCATGTTGTTGACTAGTGCTGCCTTTGGAAAAACTAGGCCGGGCTCTTGAGAGTACGTGAACGTGGATTGGATCCCTCGCCAATTTTGACTTGGGTCAAAATTCTCCAAGCACCTTTCATTATTTGCCCCCCCCCCCCATTTTGACTTGGGTCAAAGTTCTCCAAGCAAATTTAATTGGCCTTCCATTATATGGCCACGATCTAGCAAACGTGGAGCTTGTTTGGATTTCAGCGGGTGGAGAAAACCGCCATTTCTTTTACAAAACAAAACGCTGCTATTTGCAGCGGATTAGGCTCAAACCGCTGAAATCCAAACGACCTCGTGGTCTGTTTAGGACCGTAGCACCGAATATCCTTTTAGAAAAGGATGGTGGAACACCCTTCTGCCAATCCAGACGCAGGTAGTGCGTGTCGTTTAATGAAGGAAGGTAGCTGCAGCGGAACAAGGGGGCCGGTGAGGCTAGTCTCGAGCGCAAGATCGGTTGAACCCAGTAATACATCTTCCCTGACCTCCCAACCGCCATTAATAGCGAAATCAAGAAGTCCCAGTCAGAAAATCCCTCAGACTGCGTTGGCAGAGTGGCCAGTGAAGACTCGAACAGAAACCAACCTGGTGGAGGAGCCGCCTACGGTGGACCGATGACGACGAGCGGCAGGGTGGCGACTCGGCGGTAGAACTAGCTTCCAGCGACGAGCGACCGAGTTGCAGAGCTAGGCACTGCAGCGAGCTTCGTCTTGTGCAGGTAGGCTCCTCAAGTTGCGACCTGCCACCGCTCTCTTCAGGTTGGCTTTGGCACGAGAACAGAGCTTCTTAGCGGCCATTAATGGCGGACATGGTTCGTGAAGCTAGAGAGACATGTGTCTGGTGAACGAGTAAGGGCGGCAGGAGGCGGTGCCACGCTGGAGGATGAGGAGCGAGTTACTTGTAGTTGGAATGAGTCGGATCTGGTCCCTCCCCTGATTGAGAGCTGCTCCTGTTTACCGGTTAGTTCAGATCTGACAGGGAATGCCTCAGATCTGAAAAAATCCAGATTTCTTTTTTCTTTTCTGAATTTTCCAGAACAGTTCCTTGTCGATTCTTTGTGATTTGGATGATTTTTTGAATGTTTTGGGAGGTTTTGTCAATCGATTGTGTTCAAACCTCTCAACAAGAGCACCATTTGATGAATAATCGATACACATATCCTATAATTTGGGAGATTGAACAAGAATGTAGGAGAAGGAGATGTATGTGTATTGTGAATGAATTATGAGTTATGTTTACAAGCTCCAAAAAGGAGTATATATAGAGAAATCCGGGTCTGAGCCTCTAATATGGGTCTGACAGGCCCGGTTACATAAAAAGGATTGATAAAATAAAAGGCTAATCTAGTACATACAATGAATATGTAAATTATACAATAATATAAATGTTGTCTGCTGATGTACGTGAACCGCTGTCCAGGACCAATAGTAAGCAGACCGAGGGTCAAAGTCCACATATTCCATAAAAAACTATTGGTAGCAAAGATTTGGTTGTCTAGTACTACCTCCGTCCCACTATGATTGTCCCGTCTTATCTTATCGATCTGTCCCACTAAGATTGTCCCATACCAAATTTGGCAAAGTTTGTGTGGCTCTAAATCATTTTTACTTTATTCTTACTTTATCAATTTAATATCAACCACATAAACCACTTTTTATTGATTTGCGTGTCACTCCTTCTTGTCTCATTGTTAGCGGGACGGAGAGAGTAACACTAAAAAGCATAACACAAAAACATATTTTCAACATCTTAATGCTAAAGTTACGTTAAAAAAAACATCTTAAATCTAAAGTCAAACTGTGTTATCATCATTGTAAAAGTAATACTACGTATACGATTTTTCAAAGTTATAATATCAAACCTTCATGAGTTGGGAGTTGGGACAGTGGTGAGGACCCCACATAAACTCGCAGATCCTCTGAAGCGTTATAAAATGTCTCATCCAGAAAGAACTATGTACCAGCCCTATCTTCAGAAGGTCATAAAGTTTTACAACAGATTCAACAGATCAACACTTGAAATTCCCTCTAAAAATTTCAACCGTTAATGTAATTTTATTTCCTTTTATCTTTATTTTTCTTGTACTCTCAAGCATGTACTTTTAACTCTATTTTACTCTCTCTGTTTCAATTTGTTTGACACACTTTGACTTCACAAAGATTAAGGACATCGTATACAAAGTGAGTTATCTTTTGGTGCAATCAAGATACATTACATTAAAATGTTTTGTGAGTCCAGCTATATGAATTAGCATTACATAAAAGGAATTTTAAAAAAAAAATCTAGTGTCATTAGATTATCAACAAATACAGGTAAATGCCATGAATATGCTACCGGAGTATGATACATGTACCTAATTGGCCTCCAAAAATCAACTTGATTTATTTATAATCTTAATGTTTATGCATTAGTTTGACATTATTCTCATGCATGCCAATATGAGATTAAAAGTTTTTCTGTAACTTTAGCCAATCTAGTTAGAGTAATTCCAACCTTATTTTAATTATAATTCAATTTAGCGTGTGAAATAAAAAGTTGTGTTTTTAATGAATATGTTGATTGATCAGGCCAACATATGAATCGGATCATCGGATTGACCATTTAACATCGATACTTCTTTAACATCTCATATACGATAGAATCGATCGAAATAGAATCGCCCAAAATCTAAACGAATGAAATTGAAACCAACTAACCGGCCAACCCTCGGCGGTTCGGTCTACGATTTATGATTTTGGATCAAGTATTGAACAAAATGACAAAAATAAAAAGTACAATCGAAACTTGCTAAAACCGACCGCAATTAGCCGCACCGAAACTGGCTCAAGTGGTGCTAGCTGTTTGATTCTCGATTACATCTTTTCTATAACCAACTGACTGAAAATCAAACCAATAAAACCCAAACCCATGAACACACCCAATCACAGTTATCCGTATTTTGACATTAAGTAGAGATGTAATTTGAAATTTAAAATAAAACTCTCTGTTTCTGGAAGGAGTATACTAATAAAAATAATAATATGATTAAAATACTGTATAAAAATGTGAAAATGTTTTTTTTGTATAGCAAAGAATCAATGTAGGGTTGAGGAGCAACATGCTATGGAAGAGAAGAGTGTAGGATGGAGAGTGGAGACACACAATCAGCTACTACATGTCTCAAATTACACGTTAGAATAACACAATGTGTGCAGGAAATCAAACGGAGCACTCATCCGAGCCTTCAGCGAGCCACTGCCGCCGCCGCATTTCGGATTTCACCACCAGCTGCAGCTTCGACTCGGCGCTCATAATAAGCTTCGACGGCACGCCGGTGATCTGCTCAAGCGTCTTCAATCCCTGCCCCGACTGCCCCAATTTTCTAGCCGATCTTCTCCACCCGAACCACAGAGACGCCGCAAGCGAGACCCGGGCCGGAAGCGCCGTCATGCGACCCGCGGCCAAGCAAATCTGGAACGCCCCGCGCGCTTTCCGCTCCACCTCCTGCTTCTCCTCCCCGCCAATTCCAAGCCTCGCGCACCATTTCACCAAAACGCCCTCCGCCTCCGACCTCACTTTCCTCAACGGTTTCCCCCGATTTCTCCTCTCCGGCGGGGCGAAACCCTCGACGGAGCTCCCGTCGTTCCGGCAACTAGAGCCCTCGTTGGTCGCGGACGACGAGGAAAGCGCGTCGTCGAGTCCGTCATCTCCGTGCGGCGACGCCGAGCAGGAATTACAGAACCCCGAAACCCGATCCCCGCCGGAGACGCGATTCTCGGTGACGGATCTACAATTGCAGCAAACCGCGAACCGAATGTGGCGGGCGACGAGGGAATTCGCGCCGTGGACCTCAACGTCGCAGCTCCAGCACAAAAACGCCGAATCCGACGGGCAGCAAACGGCGGCCTCTCCTCCGCAAAGCTCACAACCTCTATTCATTTTACAGGTATGATATCTCTACGGTTGGTTAAGTGTGTGGATAAAGAGGATAACCAAAGAAGAGGAGTAAATAAATAGTGAAAGGAGGTCAAGATTTAGAAGCAAACAAAAGAATAGAGAACAAAGATATGAATCGGAAGTAATAGTATACCATTTTTGGACCGTTGAATAGAATAGAATATATAAATGGGGCTAAGAAAGTTTTTGATGATTGGAATGGGGAGTGAAGGATATAAAGAGGAAGACCACACATTAGAGAATGGTTTGTGGAGAAGCCAAGTCCACTGAGAAGGGGAGGGGATGAACATAGTTTTGGTACGGAGTGGCTTAGAGTTTGGTTAGGTAGAGGGAAGGGAGATCACAAATTTGGAAGTGGGCGATGTGTCAATTGGGATTGTGGTTGTGTTCCTAAATGAAGCCCCGTTGCATACAACCATACAAGTGTGTCCCACGGTTGACATTGCCTCAATTTTTTTTAAAGCCAATGGTTGGACAATGTGTAAAGGAACAATTATTAATAGTACTTGCAAAAAGGAGTATTTTAAAGCCAATTGTTTTTTGGATGCCATCGTACCAGCATGCCCCGGATCTCATCAGAACTCCGAAATTAAACGTGTTTGGGCGAGAGTAGTACTAGGATGGGTGACCCCCTGGGAAGTTCTTGTGTTGCATCCCCCGCCCCATCTTTTATAAGATAGAAAAGTGCGGGGTTATGATGATCCATATGGTTCTTGATCGTGGAACATCCTCAAAACATACTAAAAGGAGTTGATAAAAACCCATCAAAATCATTTACCGGTGGGCGTAACCCAACTGGTAGTGAAGAAGTGTCACAAGGGTTAGGTCCCGGGTTCGAATCCCGGCAACTGCGATGAGAGGTGACTATGCTAAATGCTAGGGTCTCTGCAAATACTGGGGACAGAACTCCACTCTCTATCTATCAGATTGGATTATAGTCCAATTTACATCCTCCCAACGTACCCTCCGGTCAAAGTTGGGGACCCTCAGGGATTTGGTGTCATCCCTTTTTTGCAAAAAAGGAGTAAAATGGTAGGGGTAGTGAATAGTGTAGAATAAAAAGTAGGGAAAGTAGAAAAGTGTAGTGAAAAGTAGGAGATAGTGTGTAAAAGTACGAAAGAGGAGATAAAAAGTAGAAAAGGCAAGGATAGTTGAATATTTTATAAAGGGTAAACTTACCAAAAATGAAAGTGTAGGGAACTTTTAAATACAGTCCAAAAAGGAAAGTGTAGGGAACTTTTAAATACGAATGAGGGAGTAGAAACAAAATCAAAGTGGCCGGGGACTGAACCGATTGAAACCTCATATGATGGGGAAGACGACCGGTCGTCGATCAGCATATCTTCAAATTGGTCTTGATGAAGAGGAACCTTCTAGATAGGTCGCACCTCTTGAGTGGACTGAGGCTGCTCGACGCTCTGCGGAGCAACAGTAGGTTTGGGTTGATTGTTTTTCCTAGCTTTCTTCCTTTTTCCCACTCCACCGGCTGCTAGCACATGACTGTCATCCATGGAAGCGTCTGGGTTGGGAGCTGAAAAAATAACAAAGGAAAAGGTTAGTACTTAGCGGTCTTATCACGTGGGAAACCAAAAGGAACGGAACGTTTCTCGCAAGGGAAGGACCGCCCGGCCCATGGCATTTGGTTTTCAGTCAAGTAAAACCAGGAATACGGGCAGTACCTATCCCGTCATTGACAAGCCGATCGGGAGTCAGATACTTCATGATGTTGCATTTCTTATCCCGTTCCAAGGCGAAGACAGCCTTGCTGATTTCCTCGGTAAGCAACGGTTCTGGAGTTTTACGGGGAAAAGCATTCCATTTCTTCGGGATTAGACCATTCGGGATGGAGACAAAGAAAAACCGATCCTTCCACCCCTTAATGGAAGTCGGATTATCGGTGAAGAGTATGTGACCCGTACGAGCACTAGCGGCCAGAAATCAATGTGTTTGCTGAGGCGCCACTTAAAAAACTGATGAAATAACTCTAAACAGGGCGTGACCTTGGCATCCGCACAGCGACAAATGAAGCCGACCATTACTCGGTAGGAATTTGGCATGATTTGGGCTGGTACTACCTCGTAGAAGTTAAAGAAGGATACGAAGAACCGGTGTAATGGAAACCTAAGCCCAGCTTTCACTGAGTCTAAGTGGACTATTACCATCCCAGGAAGATGGCGCATTGAGTGAAGCCCGGCCTGGAGACGGAAGTCCACTGGATCCAGGATTAGGGCTGTGATTTGGGCCATGTTATGAGAGGTTTGTTTCTGCCACCTCTCTTTAATCAAATTTAGGTCAATTTTGTAGCGAGGGACATCGTTCGGGGGGCCAGCCGCCATGGAAGCAATCTCATTGTCAGATCGGGTGTCGTCTGATTCACCGCCGAAAGAAGAGGAGTCATCGGAAGAATCCTCCGCCGCTGCACTAGCACCCGCTGCCGCTTCATTGACTACATCAGCAAAAGGAACGGCTATGGCATTCCCGGCAGCAACATCATGACCATCCCCTTGGGAGGCCGGTTCCGAATCGAGGGAACACGATCGAGAAGACATACTGACCAGAACCAAGAATAGAAAAAACAAGTAAGGAGCGGGAAGTACCTGAACACTCGAAAACTTGGGAGTCCTAGAGAGAAGGCAGAGCTAGAGCACGAAGAAACTGGAAATTCGAAACCCAGCACCGGAGAGCAAAAGGCCTATTTATAGCCTGACAAGCGCCGATTCATTGACCAACCAGAGGGTGACACGTCACCAGGAGCGTTGGAGAAGACATGTGTCGCATGGGAGAGCAAAGGCCAGTACTTATGGCAATTATGGAAAAAATCAAATGACAGCCGCAATAAGATACTAACTCATGGCATAGGGAACTAACGAGATCTGGAACCGATCGACACTCGGCATACAAGTTCTACTTCTTTATGCACTCACTACCATTCGAGACATCGAAAGTGGGGGACTCGTGTTGGGATATTGGACTGAAGGCCCAATACCCGGGCCAAAGGACCAAAATATCCAGTCCAATAAATAGCCCGGAATCCAGACGGGGCACAGGCCCAGTGAGATATATGCTCCGAACGGGGATCAGGTCAACCAGTATACTTGGGCCAGATCAAGGATGTTTCCAGTACCGTCTATCACCCCGTCCGGGCAACGAATAGCTGGCAAGTGACAATGAGCATTTATTGTTACCAAGTGACCTCTGCAAGTGGGAGTATGAGCATTCAAGTGGCTGGATTAGCGACCAATCAGCATGGAGCACCCCATACCCCCTATTAGTGTAAATAGAGGGATTAATCCCATTGTAAAGGGTTAGCATTTTGATACTCAGGGCCTAGAATAGCTTTCTCATTCTTGTTATTGTATTAGTTACTATTCCGACGTACCGTTCAGGAAGTTTCCTGTGTAATCATCGAATTGTTTAAATACAAGTGGGCTTTTAGCATATTATTTGATGGATTGTCTACCCGGGGGTATATATCCGAAGAGTTATTACGGGGAATAACCTAGAGAGAAGTCGGAGCAAGTAAGTAAAATTAGAGAGAGAGAGTATTCAATATGAATGCCGTTTTCAGCGTGGTTACAAATGGGGAAATGGGGTGCTATTTATAGTAGCAATAAATGCCGGGCAGGGACACGTGTCAGGCGCTCATTGGCCGAGGGGTCACCTCAACTGGTTGGCGCTGGCAGCCGCATGTGGCCGCATTTAATGCGGCTGTTGGATGGGACGTCTGTGCAGGGTACGGTGATCTGTACGCATGTGAGGCGGATATCTTGTCGAGTGAGATGCCTTCGGCCATAGAGCAGTAGCCGAGGGCTCCTCCAACCGATGGCACCCTGGTGCTGAGGGCTCACAGTGCCGAGGGCTACTGTTTTCGCCGTTTTCTCCCAGTTCCTTAATTTGCTTGGGAACCCCGTTCTGCGAGAGTTTAGAGCCTTCGGCCAGGGGGCCGAAGGCACCCCTGGTGCGCCTTGCGGGCTGCTTGGTACTCTGCGCGCTGTGATTTGGGCCTGTTGGGCCTTCTGGGCCTGTTAGGCCTTTACTGGAGTAGTAGTAGTCTGTGGGCCGGGTGTTCCCGGGCCATATACTCCATCAGTAGTCCCTCACTCCTTTTGCCGAAAGGTACTTGAGGGAAAAGGAGTAATTTGTGCTTGCCTTTTGATGTTGTCCCGTCGTGATCTCTGAAGTTGGTGAGGAGTTTTTGCTTTTATGTCCCTGCCGAAGGCAGTCCCTCAGTTACCCACATGTCGGGACTTGAGGGCTTACCTTGTCGTTTGTTGGAATTTCACTAATTTTGCAATTTAATGATTTTCCCGAGGGGGTCCTCCAGTCCCCCACTCCTTGAGGCACTTGTAAAGTGGTGAAAAGGAGTAGAGTAGTTGTGTTGCTGTTGTGGGCCGAAAGCTGACGTTTTTCGTTTCATTTTGGGGGGATGCCTCGTTAAAAACCTCATCAGAAAAAACCCTGGGGGAAAAAATCCTAATGAGGGAAAAAGAGTGCACCGAATTCCCCCAATGATGAATCGAAAATGTCAAACCTTGGTCAAAAATGGAGAATAACGGTAATGCCGAAGGCTCTTCTTTTTCTGAGGGCTCATGTATTGATCAGCCGAAGGCTTGCCGTTGATATCCTGGGGATGCCGAAGGGGAGCCCCTCAATCCGGGGATCGAGGGCCTGCTGGATGAGGGCGGCAACGGAGTTGTTACCGGGGGGTCCACTGTTTGTTGATTAGTTGGTGATGAAGATACCCGAGGGCTCCCGAAGGAGTGATCCCGAAGGCGTCCTGTTATGTGTTGTGTGGGGCACACCCCGGGGGCACTTCTGAGTGAGTGCACCCGGAGGCTATCCTTGACGAAGTGGAGTGAGGTAGAAAACCCGGGGCTTCCAGAATATAGCCGTTGGAAATATAGCCGTTGGAATACGTAACGTCAGGATATAGCCGTTGGGGGGGGGACACGTGGCGCGTGATGGCTGGCTGTCCGTGGGTGGCATCACTGGTTGGGTGAGGACGCGGTGTGTAATGATGGTGGTCCATCCGGAGGCCCGGAATCCAGGCCCAAGCCCGGATTCCATCGCCTATAAATACCCCAAGGCCAGGGCCATTCCCCGCTGTGCGAACTCAGTTGTCTTAGCGAAGCTCTACCAAAAAATCTAGTGAGAGAAACTCAAGCCTTCGGTCCTAACTCAGCTTTCGAGGTCAGTGCTCCCTGCCTTTCTCCTTCTAGTATAGCTGTACATTGTGCCCTCGGGTTAGGAGATAGAATTCACTAGAAACCTTAGTTCCCCCGAACCCTCGAGCTAGAGTTAGAATGTCGTCCCAGAGTGACTCTCAGGACATCTCGAGGACGCCCTCGATG